CCCTAAACCCTAAACCCAAACCGTCTTGAAGCGGCCGGCCTGCATCCTCACCTGGGCGATGTTGCCACGTGAAACCTGCAGCCAGAGTCGTGCTGATAGGGTTGCACCAGGGTTTCTATAAGGGCTCCGTGAGAGAGTTTTAGGGTTTAGGGTTTAGGGTTTAGGGGACTTCTTGAGGTTGTTAAATTAGAGGGTGTTACGCCCTTAACCCTGACCCCTAAACCACCTAAACCCCACTTCCCCGTATATGCCCCCCCTAAACCCTAACCCCTGCACCTTAAACTTCTATACAAAACGCCTAAACTCTAAACCCTTCGTAAATTAGGGGCCATCGCTTAGCCTCAAACCAACCCGGATGATTTTGGGCTTAGAGTTTAAACTAGTTCAAGAATAATGTTGTGGCTTTGCGGTTGAAGGAGCAGTAGTCCCCCCATCGTACCAACCGAGCCGGCCCATAGCGGTGGCAGAACACTTTACGGTGAGCTTTACAAGCTCTGCTGTGGGCAGCTACGTCAAGGCGGTCTGCCTCGCCTCTCGCGGCTGATCCAGGAATGAAAAGTATTTCAGTCCACGCGGAAGACGGGGCCGCCGCGATCCTGCTCACTGTTGGAGGTAAGGTGCGCCACGACGTCGGGGGCCTGCTTGAACCAGACCCGCACGGCAGCCACGCTGGGATTTTGCCAGTTGCACCCAGCGAGCAACTTCATCATGGTGCACAGCCGCACTCAGCTCCACATTTGCTCGTTCCCTCGCACACCGGCGTAGAAGCTGCAGATACAGGTCGTAGAGATCCGGTGGCAGGTCACCACCTGGCTGCAAACCAATCAATGTCACTTTTCTGCAGCCACCTAACCCTAAACCCAAAACCCCAACATTCTAAACCCCGACGCCAAAGCCCTACATCCAGACATCCGACCCCAGCGAAGGACGGCAGATAGTCTAGCAAAACCCCTGAGGCTCAAAGTACCTACTCATCAAATAGGGGCGGGGTTCCGAATATAGGGTACCCGAAGGAAGTACCCTAAATAGCAGGATCCTTATTATCAGGACCTCGAAATTAACGTACCCTACTTTTCGGAAGCTCCCATATTGTCCCAACTACTGACCCACGTTCACGTAACTACTATCCTAGACACAAGTTAGCATCTCCAAAATACTGACCTGCATAAGTCCCTAAACCCTAAACCCTAAACCCTAAACCCTAAACCCGTACTATCCCGAACGCAGGTGCCTGAGTATTGGATCTTTTGAGCCCTCAGGAGGGAACTTGAGACTTCATACTTCGGGTACAGATTTGGGGCCAACTCTAGCATAAGATAATTCGGTTCAGGGCTTTTTGGGTTTTTAGGTTTTTTGGGGTGTATTAAGGAACCCTAGTTTTTGGGTGTATTAGGGAACCCCAGTTTTTTGGGTGTATGAAGGAACCCTAAAAGGCTAAGTTGGCTGAAGACTAAGGCTTTTACCTGAGCAAGATCCTAGAAGCGGCCCAAGCGAGAGCCTTGCGGTTCTGCAGATCCTCTGAGATCTTGTCCGTGAGCTGGCGAGGCGTTTTATAAGTCTCTTCGGGGTTTCTTCCGGATCCCACAGCCCAAACCTTGAGACCCTAAAACCCTAATGGGGTTTAGGGTTTGGGATTTATAAACCCTAAACCCTAAACCCCTAAACCCTAAACCGTTAGGGCTTGGTATCCTAAACCCTAAAAAACACGAAACCCTCAGAGCCTTCTCGCAAGGGTTTAGAGTTTATAGGGACAGGTCCACTATCCTAGGGAGATAAAGGCCAAGCTTCGGGAGTATATTGGGATTATATAGAAAAATTACAGTGCCAAAAAAGTTAAATAGGCTACCCACTCTACTACTAGGTTACCATCTTACGGCTTTTGCGGTTTAGGATCGTGGGGTTTACGGCAGTGGAGCTACTTCAGGGTTCAGAAGTGTAACTACTACCACTTCCACTACTCCTACCACCAGTGCCGGGACTAGCACACGCACTAGCACACCTATAAAACCCAAACCGTGGCTCTACCGCCAACCTCCCAGGAGTAACCTAGGAATGAAAAGGGTGCCCTTTTTGGTTTTAAGGGGATTATAAGGGAGCCCCAACCCTAAAAAATGAAATAAGTTCCTACTCCGGGCCCTAAACCCTAAGCCCTAAACCTCTATCGCTAGCACTGCATCCCCCCACCTCCCCATTCTGCTCCGAGTCCCAGGTTCCAAGTGGAGAAGACCGAGGGGTTTAGGGTTTAGGTTTTAGGGTTTAGGGTTTAAGGATTAAAAAACCCTTTAACTGAGGAATACACCTTATCAAGTTATAATAGGGGCCCTAATATACGATTTAAGGTATAATCCTTAACTGCGGGGCTTTGCAGTCTCTGGGTAGAGGCTTGGATCTTGACGTGGACGCTCTCTTAGGCCTGTTGGAAACTGCTGTTTGTTTATTGCTGTTTACCCAGCACGTTCGAGGGGTTAGGAGATGCCTTTGTTGGGTCGCAGATGGATTTTGGTTTGCAGGATGGCTTTCCAGGGATTTCTGTTTGGTTTATGGTTTCTGTGGTCTCGGGGATGCTTCGACAACCGATTCTTGGATGAATTCAGTTTTGTCGGCTTGTTTTCTGTGTTTTGGGAATGCTTCAAACACAAATCCTTGCTGAATCAATGCGGCGGCTGTTGATTTGAATTACCGGGTAGCCACCGCCACCACTACCCTTAGCACAAGCACTAGCACTGCCATCACGACGACGACAACGACTACCACTACCACTGCGCAGCCCCACCAGGCTCCACTTCCCTTCACAACTTGTCCGTCAGCTGCTGACTACCACTACCACCAGCAGTACAAGTATATAGCTACCACGACAACTCACGACCAATACCCTCTAGGGGCCCTCATAGTAAGAGTAAGGTTGCGGACCTATTATGTACAATCAGGAACCCTAAGGAATGCCATTGCAAACTGCTCAAGCCTTTATGTGGGGTGGGGGGGGGTACGCTATAACTACTCTAAATTTAAGAAGCCGCCCTAAGGAATACTAATTACTGTTAATGATTCCGACCCCTATTACTCCTCTACCTCTACGCAAATGGACACGAACTTGCCCGCCTCCTTGCATCACTTCCTTATGGCAATAGCAATCCAACGTTGAATTCCTACGCCACGTCGATTTGCGTCCATTCTTACCGTTCTCTGATATGCCCAGAGACTTCATAAAAACCCCTTATTAACTGAGGAATAGAGCTTAAATCATATAAGGGTTCCTTTTCTGACTTAAGGTATGTTCCTAGAATAACGGGTTTTGGACTCTGGGTGTGCCACATGGGTAGACCTTAAATTATGCGAAACGGGAACCCTAATATGCTTCGAGGTATATTCCTGAATTAAAGGGTTTTGGAGTCTTCGGGTGCATGGTGGAGCCCGATCTCGCTCAAGTTCAAGGGTTCCGGGTTTAGGGTGCAGGATGTAAGGCTTAGGATGCAAGGTTTAGGGTTTAGGGGTTCGGAGCAACAGTAACAGAGGAACCCTAAACCCTCCCTAAACCCTGTACTATAAAGTCCATTCATATAAAGCACCCTGATCCCTGAACACAAAGATACGCATAAAGGAAACCTGAATCGTGAGGACCCGTCAAGAAGACTCCTCAATCCTACATAGACCTATGTTTGCTTCCCCAACACTCAGGGATATACAAGTTCAGACTAGCAGAACGGTGTTAACTGAAAATATCAACGAATTAACAGCTTGGTAACGGTAGTTCAACCACAGACCCAAAATTGTAAGAGAGGTTATAAGCCGCCTGCTTGTCGCATCCACACTTTGGCTGGATTGTGCCGCCGTCCTCCGGAGATTGCGCAGCTAATAGAGGGACTTCGATAAATATAGCAGGATGTCTCGGTGCTTAACTGTGCAAACCAACCCAAAACCCTAAGCTCCAAAACCAATCCTAAGAACCCACCCGATAAACAACCCTATGATTCTCAAAGGGGGTTGATGGGAGTCTAAATTAAAACCAAGCCTAAGGACCCCCAGATAAACAATACTAATACTGTTAATTGGGATTAGTGCGATTTAGAGGTCAGAACAACTTGAAATTCCATGCCCGCAATTACTAGGACTCCTAGCACTAAAATCTTGAACACTCGTAAAACTCAATAAAGTCCGTAACGAAACCTTGGAAAAGCACAGACAAACCCTATGAAAGCAATGAAGCCCCAAAACCTAAACCCAGAATCCTTACAGGAACCCTGAATCTTAGTAGGGCCGCAAAAGGAGACACGTAAGCATAACTCCGGATAGGGACATCGTTTGCAAATCCGTGCGTGTGCTTATGCCCGCTCGTACGCCCTAACCAATCCTACTAACCTACTTCTCAATCCCCAAAGATCCAAGTAATCCAAGTACCCAAAGAGTAGCGTTTTTCATAATCTTTCAACAACACAAACCAAAACCCTAAACCCTAAACGCTAAAACCTAGACCCCCATATTACTATTCAGATTGTGGAACTTGGGACCTCAACCCCTACTGTTTAAATACATGACCTAACTCAACCCCAAAACCCTAAAAGCCGATCAGCCCCAACCCTGAACCCTACAATATATATATATATATATATGGGCCGTAATCATGAGAATAGGGTTGGGGGGGTATACTCTACTTTAATTATCACAAGGAACCCCCAAGGCCCTATTCTCATCGTTAAGGCCCCTACACCCTAAACCCTTATGGTAGCCCTTATAGAACCCTTTAAGGAACACTTAAAAGGAACCCCAAGGCACTATTCTAATTAATAAGCACCAAGCCTAAAAACCCTCTACCCCAAAACCCTAAACCCTAAACCCTAAACCCTACACCCTGAACCCTAAACCTTAAAACCTAAACCCTAAACACTAAACCCCTAAACCCTGAACCCTGAACCGTAAACCTTAAACCCTAAACCCTAAACCCCTAAACCCCCAAGTGGGGAGAGGCTGGGTCCGTCTCCACGTTGAAGCATTGGCCGCAGCAGATCGATTCGACGTCGACCTTCTTAGTTTAGAGCTGACGGTGTAGGGTTTAGGGTTTA